CTTACATACACCATCCTGTCATAATGGTGATCTACTCGTAGATCCACGGCTATCTACGCAGGCTGTCATCCACAAATGTGGAGGAACATACAGGGAACCACATTATGAATTCTCTGTAGACATAACCAAACACCATGAGTCGCTAGGCCTGAATAGCAACTGGGGTGTTAAAAGTTGCGTGTAGTCAGCTAAGGTGCAACAATTGTCTTCCCTGGCCTGGAGGAGCGAGAGAAGAAAATGCAATACACATTGTCTTCCCTGGCCTGGAGGAGCGAGAGAAGAAAATGCATACACATGGCGGCAATTGGTCTCATAGGCCATGTGCACACCAGCTTTAATGGTCTGGAGACCAAAAGTGGGTGGTGCCCGACCAGTACTCCAACTGCTATAAGAGATCCCAATAAGAAGGTCCTGCATAGAGTGGGAGCATGTATGCTCAAATATCATTAAAAAGGACCATGCTACTTGGTCAATTGGTGGAAGCCCTCAGCCTTTAGTCACCTATCAGCTCTGGAAAGAAACTCACCCCATGGCTCATTCTCAGCCTAACTCTTGAAATTCATTCACCACGTGTTTGTAATTCTTACAAGCTGCCACCAAGGAGATTCTGATTCCCAGAAACATGACGCTTTCTATTCCGAGTTAGTCTTGGAAATCCACAGGGGCAGTTCTCGTCTTCAAGGGCCACTACGGGTCAAATAACCATCTTCACAGGAAAATAGAACACTGATTTTTTTTTGCAGTTGATTGGTTTTTAATCATTTTATTGGGGGCTCATACAATTCTTATCACAATCCATCCATCCATCCATCGTGTCAAGCACATTTGTACATCTGTTGCCATCATTCCCTTATTACTTGAGTCCTTGACATCAGCTCATTTCCCCCCTCCTTCCCTCATGAACCCTTGATAATTTATAAATTATTTTTCCATGTCTTGCACTGTCTGATGTCTCCCTTTACCCCCTTGTCTGTTGTCCATCCCCATGGGAGGGGGTTATAGATAGATCATTGTGATCAGTTCCCTTTCTTCCCCTTCCCCTCCTGGTATCACTACTCTCATTATTGGTCCTGAGGGGTTTATCTGTCCTGGATTCCCTGTGTTTCAGTTCTTATCTGTACCTGTGTACATGCTCTAGTCTAGCCAGATTTGTAAGGCAGAATTAGAGTCACGATAGTGGGGGCGAGGAAGCATTAAAGAACCAAAGGAAAGGTGTAGAACACTGATTTTTAAGTGCCATCGAATAATCCTCAGTTGATTAAAAAATAAAATTCACCAAGCGCCCACGGCTACTAATCGGATGGTCAGCTGTTAAAACCCACCAGCTGCTCTGAGGCAGAGTAAGGCATCTGCTCCTAAAAAAAATTTAGTCCTGGAAGCCCTATCCGAGGTTGCTTCGAGTTGGTATTGATGGCAGGCGGTTTTGTTAGCATAAACTATGTACTAGACACCCCATTATCAACTGGGGAGAGATGAAAGCGCCTGTTAGGTAACATCGAGTCAGCTCCGACTCAAGGGGGGGGCGCCTGTGCACCACAGAAGGAAACACTGCCCGGTCCTGAGCCATCTGTGTCAGTCCATCTTCTTGAGGGACCCCCTCCACTTTACCAAACCCGATGTCCTTCTCCAGGGAATGGTCTCTCCTGACGGCTGGCCATCCCTGCCTGCAAGGAGCACTCTGGCCTTCTTCCAATACGGAGTGGTTTGTCCTTTCAGCAGTCCACGGTACCTTGAATATTCCTCTTCTCCAGCACGGCAATTCACATGCATCGATTATCTAGTCTTCCTTGTTCGATGTCCAAGTTGCTAGAGAATGCCTAGGTGTGCTTCAGTTAGGAAGCCCTAACCATATACTCAGTAGTCTGAAACCAGCAGCAGCTCCATGGAGAGAATAGGCTACCTACTTCCACAGTCAGTCTTGGAAACCAACAGGGTCAGCTTTACCCTGTCCCACAGGGTGGCTGCACTGGAAATGATGCGATGACGGTGTTTTTGGTGGTGCAGAGCGTTGGGCTGCTAACCTCAAGTCAACTGTTCAAAATTACCTGCCACTCCAAGGGAGAAACAGGTGGCTTTCTACTCCTGTACAGTTGGAAACTCAAAACCCACAAGGGCGGCTCCACCCTGTCCTGAGTGTCTGCGAGTCACAGCTGACTAGACCGAAGTGAGTCTGGATTGGTGCTTTGTGTTGAGATGTGGTGGCGTGAAAGCTAGTCGCTTTCAGAAGAAATCAAATGACATGTCGATGCAGGCTGGCATTCATAAACCTTCCGATTTATCTTACTGTTCACTACTCTAATACATTCTCTGCAGACAAATGTAGTTCAGTATTTAAAAATCTCACTTACCCAAATGATGAAGAACATTATATAGCTACTAGATTCCATAGCATTTACATTCAGTCAACAAGTGTAGTAATTACAAAACAAAATTTGTAATTCAAACTTGAATTCAAAGCATCTTATGAAGGATCAATCTCAAATTATCTTGGGGCCAGGGAGAGGGGTGACACCCCCCTTTCCTTGCGCCTGCAGTAATTTTTAATGCTTTCAGACCCAGAGAGAACTATAGTTAAGGAATACTTAATGGGATGACAGAACACAGCAGTAGGGAGTGTGAATGACTAAATCCCTACAACTGACTGAGTGGCTTCATACGCTCCCAAGTTATCTCGACATGGGGTGGTCCCTAACACCTCACGGCTCTCCGCCTGTGTTGTGACCAGGTTGGCACAGCTATCAGGGAAGCCGGCTTCCCTCACACCTAAATATGAGCACAATGCTAGATGCAGTGAGACTCTTGTTCCTTGCCATTGCCACATACACCAAATGTTTAAAAACTGAAAGGAAGTTCCCTCACAATAGCGTTTTTTTTTAATACCCTAGAAAGTTTATTATTAAAAAAGTTTGTCACTTGATGACAAATCTTGTTTAGAGTTTTCGTAGGAAACCAATGCTTTCCAATCTAGTTTTTAGTTTCTTGGGAACTGGGGTGAACATGACAAGATTAGCCCACTCCCGAATTCAAGTCAGACTCAGACAGCAAGGTGGCCGACATCCTCATCCTACAAAGATGGGTAGGTCAACTTTAATAAATAATCAACAGGCTCCTTCGGGTGTCCACATACATTCAGGAGTCAAACTCTATTCAGTTAGAACTTAGGTCCATCCAAATGGAAAAACCCCATCATGAAGAATAAGTCATTTACTTAATCTACATTTATTCCTTCCTGGTTAACAGTGTCAAGATTTTAAAACATATTTTCATTTTCCTAGGTCACCAGGGAGCGGCTTCAAAAGTTTGTGGAAAAATGCCATTATCTTTGAGTTTCATTTTTCCACAAACTTTTTGAAACCCACCCCTTTACATTTACTGATGGGATTCACCAGCACATTGAGCTTTCTGACCCTAATTTCATTTCATATATTTTCTTTTATCAATCATCTTAAAAAATTTTTTTTCTTTTCAAAGCTTTTATGACAGGTATCTGATTAAGGACATTTTCATGATTTCCTTAATAGGTAACTTGCTTTATAGGTTATTTCCAACTTTGAAAAATAAAGACAGACAACAGAGTTTACTTAATTTTTTAATAAACCATAAAATATTTCAAATCAAAAGAAACAAAAATAGATATTTAAGCCAAGCACTGAATTGTGTATAAATTTTTCCTCTAGGTGTGGGCTGACTTACCTGGGACCAGAAGACAAGAGTAATAAAGTTAGAAGGCTTGTGTAATAATGAACAAGCCCGACAAAGTGGTAATGGCTTCATAAACGTTCTTGCACACCTGGAAGCCAGTACCAGCAGCTTACTCAAGTGCACTGGCTGGCGGCCTCCTCTGTGGAAAGAGACGTGGCCTGCCATTCTCACCACACTTTCTCATCACAACTCAGCAACCCCTGGCATTTGGATGCTCCTGCTCTCTGACGTGCACTTCAGTCTGTCAAAACATCGGGGGGAAAATCCCCACCCTGAATAGAAGAATAAGCACTTCTATCGTTAACAATTATAGTCAAACCAACCTCTTGGCAAAACAAGTCAGTGGGTTTTTGATCCTCAAGAAACTCACATATTACTAATTTCTTTCTGCCTTTATGAAAATTCCGCCTTTTCATTTATTTACATTGGCCAGTTATTTTCTATACGCTTCTATTCTCAGATCATTCTGGAACCAGATGGCTTCCTTTTTTATTGAGCCTTATAATAATTTCCACTTGAGAATATCTGCTCTTTGATCAAGTACAACCTTCTCTCTCTGTGAATAAAGTTGCTATTTGCCAATGAAAATTGAAAACGCTGAGCAAAGGAATGAACATTAGCAGGATCTCACTTCCACGTTCATGTAATTTCTGTAAATATGAAGAAGACATTCGGTTTCACTATGAAATCTAAGACCAGTTTTGTCTGACACGGTTAAGTTTTTAGCATACTCAAATGGGCCAAGATTCAACATGGACGGCAGATGAGCGCACATGGAACACACTGTAACATGAACACGTTTGGCTGGTAGAACCCCAGCAGCTTGGTAATGAAGTGCAGCAAAGATCCCCTGGCACTGAATGAGAACTCCAGTAACATCTGAACCCTTTTGGTAAAGTTACAGAAACTCTACCGCAGCCGGGGGATAAGTAGTCATTTCACTTTATGAAGCCCGGCTGGCCAGGGACCACGTGATATGAGTTGTGGAAACAATACAAAATATGAACTTGGAAAGGAACAATTTTCCTCCCCAAATTACCTTACAGACACTTAAACATACTATGATTTGACAGTGGTATAGTGGTAAACAAAACAATGAAGAAAAACTAACATCATGCCTGTAGCACGTAAAGAACACAGATTCAAGAATCGTCAGCAAGAAACTATGATAACGCCGAGACAGGGTATTCTATGCCCTAAGCCAACTGGTGCTGGGATACACCAGTCGGATCAGCAATACGCAGTGGGAAAAGAGTGATCTACTTACTGTATGTGAGTCAGAAAGTGACAAAAATGTATGTTGTTAAATGACAAAACATATTCAGAGGCTTTATTTAAAAATCTCACTGTGCATTATCAAAGTTACAAGATTGTTTGCATACCAATAGACAGACTGTAAACATAGGAAATTTTCATTAAGGAAAGATGGGCTTACTGTCATTTAATCTTTTACAAAAAAATTCCTGCAAGTTATCGATTGCAGAATTTCTCTTTTGTGTTCTTGCTAATTCTTTTGAAATTTCAACCAATGTTTCCACTCCCTTGAGCTAAAAGTTCAACCATGGCCGCCTCAGGAAACACCCCTGTTTATTAATCAGAAATACAAATGGACTGGCACATATTTCCGTTTTCTTCCTAGACCCAAGGTTTCAGCTTCATAGTATCTTACAAGCAAAGAGAAGACTTGCAGTAGTCCTGTGTGAGGCCTTCCATGCCGCAGCTGAGGCTTAATGACGGCAGTGGAGGAAAGCAGGGGTGATGGAAGTCAGACCAGCCCAGCCGCCCTGCCCTTATCTGACATGGAATCTTTCTCCGATTGGGCTTGCAGTGCAGTGTTTCTGGTCTGCGGGCCTCCACCCAATCTGAGTGAAGCAGAGAGGTGACATGCTCTGATCAATCCCGATTCCGGGTGAATCCCTGCAGGCAAACGGCGGACCCTTCAATCTGTTGGCTGTGGGATGATACTGATATGAAGGAAATTGTCCGGGTAGCTCAGGTGTTCACTCAGCCACTGCAGAGGGGTTTCCAGCATCGGCTCAATTCCATGAATCATGACTTGGTTCTTCTTTTCCCCATCTAATCCAAGAGAGAAATCCAACAACGATCAGTCGGAGCGCAAAGAACTGAGGGAGAAAACCCAACCAAACCCAGCCTGCTGTCTTTTGAGACTTGTAGGTGGATTGAGGCTTGCTCAGAGCCCTTAAGTTAAGGGGGAGGGTCAGCCCTGTCTATCTCCTGCCCTGGCGTCGTGGTCACGGAGAATGTTCAGACGCTGCACTGTGTGCCTCCCAAACAGAAACCTGAAGATTACAACGAATTCCGATAGAAGCTCTGTTGCTGTATGTGAAAACCTTCATTCTTTCTTAATTACTATGCTCACCTAAGACTGACGTTAATGAAACTTCAGCAGAGCAAACAGCCCCTGGTGCCCACTAAAGTTTTTTATCTGCACATTAAGAACGGTAGTAAGTGGGTCGGCACACATTTGACAACAGAAAAGAGAAAGGAGACTAGAAAGAATCATGAAACCCGGTCAGTGTTTGGAGAGACTTAGTTAAAGCAAAGAGACGAGAGCTTTACGGTTGGTGCAGTAGCTAGTGTGTAAGAAATGCCTCAGAGTCACTGGGAAGAGAGGCAACAGAGTTGGTTCATCAGAAGGCACGCAGCATCTGACTCGGGGTTCCTGTTGGAGGGTTATGAAACCTCATTGATTTGTGACACCTATTCTCTTATGAAGAGTGCTGCAAGTCACACTTCTCTTTCAAATTCAAATTTTATTCCAAATTAGCTCTGTGTTTTTCCTGGCTTGGGGACGACGATACACTGAAACCCTTTAAAGTAACCAGAAACACTACTGATAATTGCAGGGGAAAAGGCAAAACCAAACTCATCTACTAGGAACAAACAAGGTATGTGGAGGCCTCAAAAAATTTGTGGAAAAAGTTCCATTATCTTCCCATTCCATTTTTCCATGGGCTTTTTGAAGTCCCCTCATAGAACCACTAAGAATCTTTTAGTTGCTCTTTTGAGGTGATGGCTTGTGTCTTTTACAGTTTCTTCAAAATACAATGCTTAAACATTGCAGCTTCCTGGGGACAAAAACCAAACCAAAACAACCCCTCAGAACCAAAACAAACGAACTCACTGCCATTGGAACAAAGACGACAGAAAGAACCGGCCTTTGTGAAAGTGCCCAAGGAACGAGCGCAGCATTCTCCTCTCTGCGCAGGGCTTTCGAGGGGCCGCAAACGGGCACTGACTCACGGTGAGACAGCTTGGCTGGCACTTTAAAACCTAAAACCAAGAGATCCTTTACAAATGTTCCAATTTCCCGGTAGAGGCAGTAGGGTCTTGGGAAGACAATCCACTGAGAGTAAATGAACTGTGAGTAAGCAAAACCCTAAAACCAGGTATGTAAAGTTGATAAATTCAGATTTTTTTTTCATTAAAGAAAACTGAAATTTTGTAAAAATCAAAAAAACATACCAAACCTAACCAAATCCTAAACCTAACAAAATAAAGATTCCCAAACAAATCCCGGAACCAATGTGCCATCGTTTTAAAAATCTTGGAAACTGTTAGCACCTCAAACTCTCATTGCTTCCCAGCCATTCTTTGTTGCATCTATTCCAACCTTTTTACACAGCCGTGGCCATGGTGTTACAGGATGGGGTTTAATAACAATAAAAGCATGCGCAGGCATACCTTGGAGATACTGGCTTAGTCCAACTTGCAATCAAGTTAAAAAACAAAAACAAACAAAAACCAAACTTAAAAATATTGAGTCTCAGAAGTGCATTTTTTTCCCAGCGCATATAAAAGTCATGTTTACATTATCATAGGGGTGCCATGGTTCTGAGCTGGGCTGCTAAACACAAGGTCAGCAGTTCGAAACTACCAGCCGCTCCGTGGGAGAACGATGAGGCTTTCTACTTCTATAGAGTGACAGTCTCAGAAACTTGCAGGGACAGTTCTACTCTGACCCACAGGGTTGCTATGAGCCGGAAACGACTGAATGACAGTGACAGGGTTTGGGGTTTTTAGAATCTAAGAAGGCTGATGGGACAAGCGTGAGAGGTGAAGCTGCTCTTGTATAGAGAGAGCGTTTGGGAGACCCTATGGAGCTGTTCTAGTCGCTGTGTGCACAAGTTGGGGAACGGCAGTGCTTGTTATTTTTATTTTTTGGTTTGTTGGTTTTCTGAGTGTGCAGTAACATCGTGGAAACATTTGAAATATTGTGAGGATTATCAAAATGTGACTCTGTGTTGATGGACCTGATCACACAAGGGTGCCTGAAATCTTCAATTTGTTGAAACAACAAAAAAAACAAACCCCACATTATCTACAATGTGCAGTAAAGCAAAGCATAAGAAGCAGCACATGGCTATATAAGTAAAATATTAAGGTGTGCACAGAATACTGTAGAAAGCATAGTATTAATACTTTGAGAGGAGTTGAAAATGTTGATATTCAAATTAATAAATTTCAGTTATCCAGAATGATTAATTCTCTGTAAGTGCCAGATTGCCAAGATTTTGCTGTATTAACCTTTCTTAGAACATTTGAAAACATTTCCGGTACAGTTCTCTTCATATTCTCATTGTAGTTCTTTGAAATATTTTAACATTCTCAGAATCTACCTCCTACTTAGCACTGAGTCAAAAAATGAAAGAGCAGTGGTAAAGAGTAAAAGTTCCTGATCTGCTAGTTTTCCTTCAGCCGAAGCTGCCTTTGGGTTATGCTGTCACAGACTAGAAGGGCCAGCTCACCAGTCCATACCCAGGATCCTGTGCCGACAGCCATACTTGCACGTGGAGGCAAAACAACAGGACACTGATGCACAGGGTCATGGAAAGGAGAGTTGGAGAACACAGGCACCATTTCAACCCTTTCTGCAAGACACCCATAAATCACAGGGCCGGAGGCCAGAACAGGAATCAAAGACTCTGGTTCAGTAGGTGGGGCCACTGTACATCTCAGCATAAAAGACTGAGGAAGAGACTCTGGAAGGAGTCGTGGGGAGGTGTAGGGGGTGTTGGGCTCATCATGACCAGCTAGCATCGCATGCCTCACTGAGAAACATTCCAGCCCCACACTGAGGTGAGCGTATTAAATGTGTGGCCAGCATGGCCTGAGAATGGTGTTATAAATCTCCAAGTGTCCCTTGGCAGAAAAAGAGATTTCCCACCGATAGTCTAGAACACTGGTTCTCAACCATCCTCATGCCCCAACCCTTTCATACAATTCCTCGTGTTGTGGTGACCCCCAAACATAAAATGATTTTCGTTGCTACTTTGCAACTGTAATTTTGCTACTGTTATGAATCAGGTGGCCCCTGTGAAACAGTCGTTCGACCCCCAACGGGGTTGCAACCCACAGGTTGAGAACCGTTGTGTTCTCTCTAACTTTGCCAGCGTTTACATCAGTAGTTTCCTGACTTCCCCCAGCAGCACGACAGGAATCCGACAGATTCCTGGAATGGAGCAGCAGCTCCCTGGGAATGGACCATTCATGAAGGCTTCTCGCTTATTTGCCACCACATCCCTTGGGCCTACACTGCTGCCTGACACATAACAATACATCAGTAAATGTTCTCCTAGATCGGACAATTTCCTTACTGATCCAACATATTGTCAAGAGTAATGTCTTAGCGTGGCTACATAAAAGGCTCTTGCTACATAGCTATTACATTTAAAACAAACAAACAAACAATGGCTCCAGAGAAGCCAAAAAGTTACCAGCCATCACCTTAATTCACGCTGCCATAAATAACAACAAAGTACGACTGGACAGTTTAGTCATATCAAAACTAACAAAAGGGAACAGTGAAACCTTAGTAGACTTTTTTTTTCTAACAATAAAAGGAAATATTGATGATATTGCTAAAGTAAACCATGTTTTTGGTAAACCTGTCTCAAAAAGGAAATCTAGAATTTAATATTTGGGAACAAGAAATATGTCATTACACAGAAAATGACTCAGGAGAAATATGTTACCCCACAACTCACCCACTCAGATTTTCTTAAATGTTAACTTTAATGCTTTAAAGTAGGTACACATTTGAGGCAGTAACCAAGCAAGCTAGTTCTATATGAACTTCATTTATATAGGGCATTGTTTGGGGTCCATTGGGATTTGCTATCATTGTTCACTGCTCCTACACTTGCCCCTTCAGCATTCTGTGGGTGTTTTCCCAATCAGGTGAGAGTAAAGCTGCAGTCTCTTTACCCCTGAAATACTTCACAGCCTATTTTCCCACATAACCACAGTGCTGTTAAAAAAAAAAAGAAAGACAATCAAGAAATTTAATTTTTCTAATACTGTTAGGTAATCCATATTCAAAATGTGATCCACTGTCTCAGTCACACTTATTTCTCAAGTCTAGAAGCTGGTGCCAAATCACACACTACACCCAAATTTGGCCTCTCTACTCTCTTCTAGTCTAGCACAGTATCAAAGGCTTTCTTTTTATTTCTTAATCTCAGCAATTTTGAAGAGCACATATAATTATTTTGTAGAATGTCCGCACTGTAGGTTTTTATGTCAAAATTATTACGGAAAATTTATCTTATAACTCGAAGGATAGTCATTCATAACAATCCAGGTTGGTGAGTGACATGAAAGGCCAGAAGTAAATGTGAGAGTCCTATACTTTCTTTGGGTAAAGAATTTAATTCACTCTGAATTAAATGTTAAATCTCAAGGGAGCCTATTTCAATATAGAGATCATCACAATAAAACAATTTCTTACATTTATCTTTCTTATAAATTCAAGTATTAGGAAGCAAGATAAATAATTTTGGAGTTGTGGTTCATTTCAGGAAAAGTGTATTCAGAAAAATTTTGGTTGTATGATCAGAATGACAGAAATTACTGAGAGACAAAAACAAAACACAAAAGAAATGTCAAGCAAGTCCACATGCACAAACTGCAACGGGAGAACGATGGCAACTTGTTTATACATAAATATGAGGGGGCTTCAAAAAATTTGTGGAAAATTTCCATTATCTTCTAATTTCATTTTTTTCTACAAATTTTCTTAAGTCCCCTTGCATATACTTGATATAAACATGATG